AAAGGTTTTGGTTAAAATATTTTCCCAAAACTTCTTAGTATTGTGTTTGGTACATCTTAACCCTTCAAGAAATGTTAGCTATCATTATAAATAATCATTCTAAGTTAGAAAGAAAGGGTTGACAGGGGAAAGACGATTTGAGTTCAGCCTTGAAGTAATGATAGTATTTCAACTGGCAGGAAGTCTCAGCAACATTGCAAATCAAGCTTAGGATATATAGAAGGAAGAAAAGTAAAGGAAAGTTTTGGTAAATAAGATTGGTCCAGTTTCACTAAACAGTTGAAAAAGAGAGAACTGATGGATGATAAGATGGAAAATTAATTGCTGTCCAACATTGACAAGTCTTAAGTTAAACCTGAAAATCCAGCAACATCCAAGATTAATACAATAGTATTAATATGCATATTAAGAGACGTGAGAGATGTCTCAACATTTTTTTTCACAAAGGAAGGTAAAAAGAAGGGAGATGGAAAAAGAAAGGGAGGAGGGGTAGAGGAGAGAGGAAAGGAAAGAGGGAGAGAAATGGAGAGAAAAAAAGAAACAGAGAGAGAGAGGGAGGGAGGGAGGGAGGGAGGGAGGAAGGACCCAACTGATACTTGTTGAATTCATTAAGGAAGTTGAGATTGTCCTGAAATCCAATAAATTATGGTGAACCAGATAGAGTAAGTGGAAAAAGTGAGAGCATTTTACCATCACAAGTATAACTAAAGAATTAGGTACTATTAACAGCACAATGATTCTTTGCATCACAGCCCTCTTTGTGACTATATGTGATGGATAAGGTAGAATGTCAACTGGATTTCTCAGTGATCATGGAAGTGTGGCCATGGTAACTATATCTAGTCCCTCTTTCCCTCTTCTCTGTCACTGTTCCCCTGCTCTGCTTCCCAGCCACCATGAATTAAGCACCCACCACACCCTTCTGCCATGGTGCTCCTGCCTTGGAGCCTTCCAACTATGGTTTCTCCTCAAACCATAAGCCAAATTAAACCTCTCCTCCTTTAAATGGTGGGTGTTAGGTATAGTGTCCCAGCAACAGAAAAGTTAACACATGATATAAGCTAAGGATTTCCTTTAAATAAAGTACATATGAATATAGATACTAAGTCTTCAGAGTCTATCTGTGAATACCAGGTTAAGAACTGAAGTCAGCAGAAGAGGAGAGGAGAGGAGGGGAGGGAAGGGGAAGAGAGCAACCTACTTATGCAGTGTCTCTGGCTCAAACTTAACAACTAAATATGCTCTTCATCTGTAAAATACAGTTGTCGGTATCTGAAAGAGATACTTACGGAAGCATTTTCTAAAATCATAGACAGTTAATTGCAATAGAAATTAATACTAGTTTACTCCTCGAGATAATACATACTTTTCCACTTTGCTTCCTCAGGGACTAAAATGCTACCTTTGCCGCTCGTTCCCCTAGTGATTACCCATGGAGAGCCTGTTCTGAGCCAAAATGTCCTAGGTGCTAAGGAGATAATAGCAAATGAGACACAGAGCATCACATGATGGTGACTGTTTTGGGCTGAGCTTTATCCTATTTTATGAGGTTGGTTCCCCGAGAAACAGACCCTGAAACAGAGATCCAAAAATAAGTAGTTTATTTGGGATATTAGAGAGCAATAAATCCTCCGACTGCCTAGAAAGGGTGACGGTGAGGGCTAAAGAAAGTAATAGAGACTTTTGTAATTTGAAAGTATATGGGCCTGGGAGGTCAGTGCCTTAGAGTGGGCAAAGACACAGACACTCGGAGCTAGCCATTATTTATTGCACACACACAATAATCAGGGGGAGTATCCGGTGACTTAGGGGTTGGCGGTAATCCTATGTTAAGGAGGATCGTATGTTAATGAGGACCATTGAGTCCTCAACTTGTGACCTGAGGCAAAACCGGGTTATATTTCCGAATGCCATAGCTGGCTCTCAGGCAAGGTTACATTGGGCGAGCTATAGTCATACCTTAATTATGAAATGATGTTTCCCCAAAATTACGTAGATTGGCTCCTGGTATTGGGATTTCCAGGAAGCATCAGCAATGGAAAGATATGCAACACATCATATTTATGAGAATGCATTCTAAAATCCTAGAGTTCGTTGTTATGCAAGAGATGAGGAAAACCAGCAAACACAGGATTCATTCACCATTCTAGATACCACAGTGGATAAGCTGGTTCGGTCTCATGGGAAATCTCTGGGAATCTAGAAAACATACACTTCAGAGTTATCCCATGTGAGCAGCAAAGGAGCTGAGGTTTTACAATAGTGCTTTTCTGAGTATGTTCATTCCCAGCACTCTCAGCCTACTTGCAACAGAGCTTGCTTCAACTTCTGAGAAAGTCTTTGGGAAAGAGATACAAATGTTGAGAGCTGGAATTCAGCCAAAAAGCAATGAATTTGTCAAGTCCCAAGGGACTTGAGCAGAGCACAGACAATATCTGCCCTCTGTCCTGAAATAGTGAATCCCTTGCCTTTTAAATTCGGATGGTTTCAGACTTCCTTGAGTACCATCTACATTGGTAAAGGAGGCCTCTAGCTAAAAGGCAAATTGAAGGAAACTATCAACTTTGTTCCCATGATCACCTCTTTAAGAGGCTCTGAAAAAACTTTCCCTCATGAAGTCCATGGAGTTGTTTCATCCCAAGGTGTTGTAGATAGGGGACATCATAAAAGAAGGAGGCAAAGCACAGATATAACAACTGTCACAAAACCTTCCTTGCTAAGAGTCAAGTATTGGATTAATTGCTTTGAGTGCATTTTTAACCTTGAAAACTAGTTAGGTATTACTAGTTCTATGATAAGGCATAGAAACTGAGGCTTAAAGATCTTGAGAGGATAGCCAAACTGGAATTTTACCCTAATCTGTATAATATAGAGGAAACATTTTTAAGCATCATGCTACATTCTTCTGAGTTGGAAAGAGTGAGTTTAGACTCTCATTTCAGCCATGTTCTTGTCCATGGCATAAATCAAGCATAGCAGGCTGCACCCTGGGGTGTCAGTTCTAGGAGAGCCCAGCTCCAAATCCCTGATACACCACAAAGTAAGAGGTGAGATAATGCCAAGGCTTCGCATTGCAGAAGTTTCTCAGCAAGAGGGCCTTTCTGCTCTACCAGTCCTGAAATCTGAATCTTGGTGCCTGAGCATCAGCATCCCAGGAAACTGAGGAGCCTGACAGTGCTACCCATACTTTTATAAAACAGCCAGTTCCCAGTGATGCTCCCTCAGGGAAGCAGTCATCTACCTAAGGAAACCCAGCATCATCTAACTCTTCTTCCTCCTCTCATTTCTCTTTCTTTCCAGTTTTCAGGTGAATATCTAATAGTCATTCCATCTCCCAGGATGAATTCAGGTAAGTATTATTGGCCTTTCCTAGAATCTAGAAGGTCTCTCCTTGAGATAAAGAGAGGGGAGGCCATACTGGCTGTTGAATAGGCTTATGTGCCAAGTCTTTAAATATCCCCTACACAATATTACACATACTCCTGACAACAGTCCTATGAGGTCCTGTTATTCTCATTTTTCAGAGAAACACATAGGCTTTTGCTAATCATGGAGTTCGAGTTTGCATGATTTTTGAATTTTTTTCTAAGTCTGCTCACAAAACATACATTCAAGAAGACCATGAATAAAGCTGCCAAGATCTCTCCCACCAGATCAGCAAAGGACTATCTGACCTTTGGGGAAGAGAAGTGAGAATGTACAATACCTTGGATAAAAATATAAGCTTCATGAATTCCTTCTGTGGGCGAAGATAGATCAGAGATTGAAGTCCTGACTGTGTTAGTTTCTAGGTTAATTGCTTTGATTTTAAGCAGTCATACTTAGTTTCATCTGAGTGCCTCCCTCGGAGGGAGTATGTGTTTAGATTATTAATCAAATTTTCATTACATTAGAGCAGCATCTAAATCCTTTAAGAATGTGTAGTGAGAGGATAGTGACAGAGGGGAGCCTGAGGAGATGTTTGCCCCATGTGGAGCCCCAAATGTTGCTTTCTGAGAGCCTAAAAGAGAGAGAGAAATTGAGGCATCCTCCTGTTCCCTAGGGACGCCTGCTTCTTCCCAGGAACAGCTTTAAGAGCTTTTCATGTCCCATAGAGATAGGAAGGGCAATCTAGTCCCATATTGTTGCTCACAGCAGCCATTTCCCCTCAAGAAAAAAAAAAATCTAAAACTGCAACACACCCTTGGTAGCTCAATAAGTGTTTCTTTCCTGTTTCTTGACCTTTATTTACAAATAGAAATATTTAAGACTCTTGTTGCTTATCATAGTGCTTAATGCATAATGCACAGTAGGTAATAATGAACAGATGGATAGATTAATGAATTAATGGAAATATAATTATTTAATGAAAAAATAAGCTCTCTTTTAAACTCCTGCATAAAGCACCAAGTCAAGAACCATGCCCTAGATTCTAACCTAGGAATCCTAGCATCTTAGAATGGCCCGCAGATGGTACTGGAATATTTTAGTTGACTGAACAAACTCAGAATAGCAATACCTGTCATGATTCAGACAGCATCATGAAAACTGATTAAACAGACCAAGCTATGAAGGAAAATGTCAGTCTATATTAGGCAAAGGTCTCAGGTGTTTCCTTACGACTCTCAAGTTGTGAAACAACTGATTGTGTTTTCACTGTCATTTTCTCCCTCCCCACTTCCCTGTGAAAATTCCTTCTAACAATTCCTGGGACCTCTATTGGTAAAGAATAAGCATGCTAATTAACTTCAATAACTGTCAAATTCATAAGTAATACATGTAGAGACTGGCTTTCTAAGACCATGCTCATCTTTCTCCGTAATGTGCAGTAGTAGTTTAATGTCATAAATCCACTAAGCCACGATTTTGAAGATTATGGTGCCATTCACTCCCCTCTGTGTCTTAAAGCCTGAATGTTTTAATAGATCTAAGTCCTAAAGGGTCTTGAGTTTTCGCAGTGTAATTAGTGTTGCTAGGGTAAAAACAGAAGCAACATTCTGTTGCTCTTGGCTTCAGTTTAAGAGCATGTTAGAGCTAGAAAAGACCTCAAAGATGATTGAGTGTAGAGTGGAAATTGTGGCCAGTTCAGACAGCTTTAATACAGATGAGTAACTGTTTTGCTTTCTTCATTTTCTCAGAAGAAGGGAATGCTCATTATTTCCCCACACCTCCAAGAAAGGTTTGAAAAGTAAGCTCTTGAGAACACAGCAACAAATTGATCAGGTATAATGATTCTGGAACTGAGTTAAATGAGCTATCAAGCTTTATAGTACAAGAAGGGGAGGAACTAAGAGGTTTTCATAGCTGGCAATGTCAGTTACCCAGGCAGAGCCTGGTGAGTGGAAGTTAAATTCTCTGCATTGCAACGATTTCAGGAAGCACACAGATGCTCATCTATCAGCTCCAGCTACCAAGTCTGTACATGAAGGTGAATATTCATGACTAGATTGAAAGGTCTTTGTCAACTGTGATGACAAGTGGGCTGACTGTGGGCACCCAGTGAGGATTTAACTGTGTCAGTACGTGTCACTTCCCCGAGGACTGGCCGCCAGGAGTGACATTAGATCATGTACCAGTTTGCTCCTGATTACACACTGTAGAAACCCCTAAAAGCAAAGAAGGAACTTGGGAAATGAAAGAGGGGATAGAATCCCATAATTGGAAAAGACAGAATGAAAATCTCAAGACTCATCAAAATATATTTTTAAAATGTTACTAAGGTAATATTAGTTTCATTTTACATATGAGGTAATGAGGGTTCAGAGAGGATTTTAAGATTGGCCTAAATCATGTACTATTATAAAGACAGAACTAAACTTCGTGTCCAAGTTTGCCTGCTTAGAATTTCTTTCATCCAACAAAAATATGAATATACAATACTAGAGCTTATAGTTATTATTAAAATATTTTTAATATGCATAACAAGAAAAGGTCAGAAAAGGCAGTCTCAAAATCTGCTACACTGACTGCTTGGTTCACAGACTCTGGAAACATTTGATTCTCTCCAACGAAATTCTAGGTGAATCCTCTTCCTTCACACCACTCAGGAGCTATGTTCCTTATGCTTCTTGTCATTAGTCTTAGACTCTTAAAATAGATCAACTTTGCATCTATTAACAATTATTCCCCTGATAAGAAATAACTAAATATCTTCTCATAGGTAAATTTTTAATTGGAACCTACAGTTCAAAAGCCAAGTACCATATTCATACAGGGAGTTCCTTGTCCTCTGAGTCACTCTCAGTTTTTGTGACATCTGTTCCTTTTTCTACTCTGTTTCTGATGGTTTGAATTATTCCAATTTCTTTTCCAGGTGGCTTCGTCCTCCTGATCATTCCAAGAATATATTCTACCCTTTGTCTTTCATTTTCTGCTCGAAGCATTTTGCCAACTGTTTTCTCCTTTGGTAACTATCATTTTAAAAAATAATGCTATTCACTTACAGATCATCTTGTGGCAAAAACATGCAGGGAAGCGTCTTGTACTTAGAAGCCAACCTAGTCCCTTTATGAGGTATGATCAAAAATATGGTAAATGCTGCTGCCAACCACCATCCAATAGAAAGGCAGATTCATAAGAATGTTACAGTGTGTCCTACCCACCTTATTCTCTAGATTTGGCATTGTTCGGCTTCTGGCTTTTCCCCAAAGTCAAAATGACCATAAAAGATAAAGACTTTTAATCAATTCAGGACATGGTGGCAGACATACTGACACAAAGATACTCACAAAAGAGGACTATCAGAATTACTTCAGAAAGTGGCAAAAGGAATGGCATAAGTCTTTTCTAAGCCAACAAGAGTATTTTGAGGAGAGTTAGTGAAAATATGTCTGTTACTATAATAATGTTTTTTAAACATTCACTGTACTTGTTGATCACATACATCTCAATGCCGGTGTTATCTTATTCTAACAATTATGAGAGATGTTATTTCCACTCTCATTTCTTTTAGGTTTATAAACAGAAGATTAATAAAGGGTTAATCCATTCATTCAAGATATGCATGCTATGGGTCAAGGAATAAGGATGCAATAACAGTAAACCAGACACTGTTACTCTCCCATGAGCTTTGCAGCCTGCTCTTTATTCAATAAACAATCAACAGAGAAACCAACTAAAAAATAATTGCAAATTATAAATGCTGTGAAAAAAAATGAGGCAAAATAACCTAATAGTTCACAAATAGAAGAGGCAGTTTTCCACCTCATCTGTGTCTGGCCCAGAACCTGAGTTCTGTCCGTCATGGCATAGTGCACTTTAATCTAAGAAATGGAGTTAAGCATGCTCACATACATAACCATGGAGACAGTGGGATGTCAGATGGCAAGTATATCTGTTTTGACCTACCACCCAATGTGCCATCTCACCACAGGCTTTTCCTGTATATGACCACCAGACTGCCTTGTAGTTTGGTTTGCTTTTCTTTTGCGGCAGTCAGGTATCTGCTGAGTCCATTCTTCCAGACTGAAAGGAAATTGGGTCAAGACTCATGTTACACATTGCAGAAAACTGAGAGGCATCTCTGAAATAAAGTCCTTTGGCTTTATTTTTAGTCTCATTTTCTCTTGCTGTCCTATGTCTGAAATACATCATTTTATTCAAAGAGAGATAAAGAAGGAGGGAAGTAGGGAAAGGGGATTAAAATTGAACACAAGGACATACAGCCTCCAGTTGGCTACCATCTTCCTTCGAGCTTGTCCTCCCAACATATTGCCTGATTTTCTCTCTCCCACATTTCTGCCCTTTACCAAATTCCTGTTTATTTCTTATGTAAAATATTTACATACAAACTTTTTTCTTGATAATACTACTGCTCTCTTAGTCATTTTCCCAAGGCTGCATCTTCTGCATCCTAAATGTTTTACCCAGGTACTTGTCTAAATTCATTTTATTCTCTCCCTAAGAGAAACTCTGATGCCAGCCATTCAAACAATGTTATTTTTCACTCTGCTACACTCATTTGGACACCCAAATATAGTACCAAATGTAAGAAAAAAATTAGCAACAGAATTTGAAGTTACTTTGTGTTTAAAGAGTATAAGAAAACAAAGTCACCCCTACTCATCCCAACATTCTGAAATTGAAGCCTGGTATTTGCCAGTGAAAGAAGCTAATTAAAAGATTGCCTCCCTCTTCCTCTCCCTCTGGTGTCAAAGCTCACAATCACATTGGGGAAGGAGCAAAGGGCAGGACAAATGGCATTCACATCTTCATACCTCTTAATTAGTGTCATTCCATTCTTGTCCTTGCAAAGCAGCAGTAGAGAATTGTCCACATCCTGGGATTGTCATTTCAGGGCTACTTCAGAAAGGAAAGCATCAGGCAGTGAAAGCCTTCTTAGAAAGTATCATTCCTTTCATGAAAATCGACTGTTCACTGCTCCCCCAATTCTTTAGATCCGCACTCATGCTGAAAACCTTAGTTCACACTCCATGCCATCCACTGGAAGTCACAAGAATCATCTTTATCCTTCTTCAGTCTAGCTGATACCTTAGTAGACGTCTAATCTGCAAATGAGCTAAAGCATAGTTTCAGGAAGGATTAAAGCTGCTCATAACATGGGTGGTTGGAAATATCATTTAGCTGCAGCCATCTGGCTTAAGTTCATCATTAATGGCATATGGCTTATTGTATATCTCATTACCTTATAAAACATGAAGAAATCAACAAGAATTCTTGAATATGTCATACACATTTCACCAGGTACTTTTTTAAAATAGTTAAGAACATAGACTCAAGGATCAGATTGCCTAGGTAAGGGTCCTATATTTGCCACTCAAAGGCTATGTAACCATGGACCACTTACCTTAACCTGGCAGGCTTCATTTCCTCATCAGAAATTATAATATAGTTATAGTAACTACCATATGGAGTTGGTATAAATACAGGTATCATACCTAAAGCAGTGTCAGCTATGTGGTAGCTTCATGACTTTTAAAATACAAATATCAGACATTCTACTGCTTAAATTTTTTGGTGGCTCTCCAGCAATTACAACTCACCTAAGCACTTTAATAGTGAAGGTGAGTGATGACATCACTGATATCAATCAGCTGTCGTGTCACTGAAACACAACCCTCTGCACCCTCAACTTAAGGGAAGAGTGCCTTAATTTGCCCCATGGTTTGGGGAGATTCATTCATAGTCAGCTGGCTCCAAGGCAAGAGCATCGTGGCAGAAGGGTGTAACAGAGCAAAGCTGCTTAGTTCATGGCAGCCAAGGAACAAAACAGGGGAATAACACCAGAGAGGAATAGGCGAGGGACCATATATACTACCCAAGGCTGCACCTTCAGGATCTCCCAATCCGATGAGGTTGACATACCAGGATTAACATTTACAGCATGAAAGAATGAGGGTGGCTAACTCATCACCAGAATATATTCTTATTTTCATTAGTGTAGAGTTTTAACTTGGAAGCAGATGTCTAAAAGTAAATTGATTTTGTAGATTGCCTTATATCTAGGTATGGGCCAGTAACAATGTCTGGCAGATTGAAAAGTAAGCAAAAATGACAGGTGTCTCTATAGTTCAAAGCCTCTTTCTTGCTTTCTTTCCCCTTCACCAGCTGGATAAAGAACACAGGGCTTGACAATGGAAAAGCTAACAGATGGAAGGGACCCTGGGACACTGAATAATGGAGGCAAGCTGCCAGCTGATCAAGAAAACTTTTTGTGAATAGCTACATGCACAAGAAATAAACTTAAATTGTCACTGAGCTTTTTGCTATCCATGTGGATTTTACAAAATTAGAGTGCAGTTGTTAAAGAAGTTTGACCTATACTAACTAATGCAAAGGATCTGGTTCCTGTTATCTCTCAATTATCCATTCTTCTGAAACATTCACTTTAAATTAATAATACCAAAATTATCTTTTAAAACACACCAGAATTTTACTGCCAGTCTGTACCTGGCTCATATATTTTCTATACCCTGAAGTATAAATAGTATAATAAGCAAAATTTATATACCAGATATGCTGGCTATGAATATGCATCTCATAGACCTCCAAGCATAGGGCCTCCACGTGTGGGGCCCCAGCTGCTGCACTGTGAAGCCCACAGCACTGAGAGCATGTGTCCCATGGACTGTCCCCACAGTTGTAGCAATACTAAGGGAGGAATGTACATTGCATACATAGAATTCTGACAACCATCTGTGCCTCAAGGACTCTTCCATAGCCTTTAGCCTAAATGGAAATGTGGGACTCTTCCAACTAAAGCACTTCCCCTAATAAGATCCTTGCATATATAATTTTGTCTTTGTGACTGTTTCTTAAAGAAACAGATTTAAACACAAAGTATAAAGCTAAATATCTTGCACAAATTTTGTAATTCTCACAGTCTTCTTAGATAAGTACTATCATCTTGCTAATCTCTGGACTGAAGCTTGGGAATTCTGAATTGTAGCTTTCCCATCATTTCATACCTTCACCCTTCTCCCTGATGAGGTCCCTTCCATCTTCACCACTCAACTTGGCTGTCAATACTTCTTCCATTTTTTGTCATAGAGAGGGGTAAACTATTTTTCCTCTGGGGAAACTCTTCTTTGTTGCTCCTTTATTTTTTTTCTGACTCTCTTTCCTGTGAGCACCTTAGTGTGAGGGTATACATATTTCGAAATCTCCAGTGTTAGCACAGATTTCTGCAATAAACTTAATAATTAGATTCAATTGAATCATGTTGAGTTTGGCTAAATTGATTTATAATGAGCTTGTGTAACTACATGTGGGAAAATGTATTTTGGGTGGGTAGACTGAACTCCAGGAACAAATTTTTAAATTAAATTTCAACAAGGCATCAGTGTTTCAATAAATGTGAAATTACAAGGCAAGTTTCCAAATTAGCATTTGAAGAATTTATAAAAGAATTCTGAGAATGAGTTTTATAACTCTTGGACCTCTCAGCCAGATCAAGGAACACAGAAAAAGATTTGCAATGAGATTCCTTTAAAAAGAATTGTTCCTCTACTGCAGGCATGCTGCCTCCTGAGGTGAATGACAGATAGTGCTACTGCCTGGAGGAATAATTTTCTATGATGCTATTTGGAAAAGTTAATATTCAATCTTTTTGAGGTAGAGAATTAGTCCCCTGACATTTTCCATCACCTCTGCTCCCCAGGGAAATTCATCAACTAAGAGCTAATTAACTAGTGGCCTTGGTGGTACCAGAGGAAGACCACTTGGGTAGAATTGTAATGGACTCTCAGAATGGGGGGAAGTATGCATTAATTCTCTTTGATCAAGAAGAGGGTTGACCTGGGGAAGAGAGACAGGCATAGAGTTACTGGAATTGCTTTCCAGCATGGTTTTCTCTAGGGTCAGAACCTCCAGTAGAAATATAGAGAGGCCAACTGGCCAATTCCTGACAAAAGCTAAGGAAGGGATCCCATAAAGCTCTCTTTAATAGAGAAGCATTCATCCAGGTCAAGGCAAGCATGAAAGAGTAGAAGCAAAGCAAAACCTCCACTGAGTTAGTCAAAATGTTATATAATAGTTCCAACATTTTCTTACTACAAGGGTACAAAGCCTGAGGATAAAGGTGGCAGTTGAAGAAAGAAAAACCCTATTCTCTTAACTCCTCCTATCTCCTTTCTTTGTATTCCATTCCTCATCCCTGGAATTTCAAATAGCAGTTGGTGGGGGAATAGCAAGAGAATTTACCACATTCACAGACTTGCTATTTGAAGCAGGCCAAAGCTTGGGATATGGACGAGTTTCTATTAAATTATGTTCAGGGTTTTGAGTTGTATCTTTGACTCAAACTTTTAGTTACAAAAACAAACAAGTAAAATGCATTTTTGCCTGTCTCTTAGTTAAAGTTAACAGAAAGAAGAGACCTTCCAGAGTTTTCATTTGGAAGAGAAATTAGCTCCTTCCTCTGAATGAAATTTTAAAAGTTGGTGGGAAATGAGAATAAACTTGTGTTTTGATTTGTGAACTTAGATTTCACAAGTTTTGCATATTTCAGAAACCAATTTTATCACTAGCAAAACCACTGAGATAATCATAATGCAGCAGACAGTGGAGAAATGGGTTTCCCATTATGAATGCCTAACATTTCCTATGTAACACAAAGGCTTTCGATGTGTGATCTTTACAACAGCATCACCATCACCTACAAACTGGTTAGGAATGCAAATTTCCTAGGTTCTCCCTCTAGGCCTACTAAATCAGAAACTCCTGGAGGCTTCCCTTTTTCTATAGTCTGTTTAACAAGTCTATCAGGTGATACTGATGCAGCTAAAGTTTAAGAACAAGATGTGTAGGATATTCCAGAATATTGAAATAAGCCTCTGTATTAAAAGCCTAAAACATGCTAAAATTTTAGCTTGCTTTTTTTTAAATTTGGGCAGCAAACAGGACTCTTATCTGATCTAGGAAAGGCTTGAACCAAAATACAGATGGAGATCATATGGACACCACCATTGAGCAGAGGGATTCAGGGGCAGGAAGTTATGCAAGAAGTTATGCCAGCTTCCTTTGACAAGAGTTTTATGTGACAATAAGCAGTCAGAAATAGGCCTCGTACAAATGCATTCATTCATATGGATCACTTAAATAGCACAACCATGACTATACTGCATGTACAATTGCTTTTAAAATTTCAACTAGACACTTCGGAGTTCAAGTAATTCTCAGAATTACTTACATGTAGTTACAATATTTACTAAATGAACTGAAAATTTATGATTTGTTAAAGTTATAACAAGTATAAATAGCAGGTTTCTCTCTCTCTCTCGCACACACACACACACACACACACACACATCTACTTATCAAAAACTGCACCAGTGTACAAAAGCAAAACTGTAGCTACAGAACCACTGATGAGCAAGAAGTAAAGAGACTTGGGATTTTTAAACAGCAAGTCTGTCCAATATCATTCATCTATTCAAGCTGCATTTGTTGGATACTTTGCTATTTGACTGGCATCATAACATTAATAGCTAACATGTAATATCCATTTTTATATATCAGCCTTATAGAGAGTTATAGGAAGTTTTTCATTTAATCTTTATGATACTTTATTGTGGGAGTACTATTAATGTTCCCATTTGAGAGAGGAAAATTGACATTAACACCCTAATCACTTAGCTGGGAAGTGGTGAGCCACATTTTCAACCCAAGTAGATATTATCTGTCCTCTTAACCACCGTGCTATATTACTTCCTATGACTAAGAGGGTTGAATATAGACTACTTGTTAATTTTCTTTCTAAAATCTATCAAGCCTGGGCTCTAGCACTTAGTACTTGTGGCAACTTGGGCATGGTGCCTAAACTCATTGAGTGAAAGTTTTCTCTTCTGGTTTATGGGGCTATTTTGAAGATTATATAAGGTATTTACAGCACCTGGAACATCAGAGATCCATAAAATTCTTTAAAGCATTTAGCAATACTACAAGGCTCCACCACCACTATCAGTTCTAACTAGATCAAGGCAGACTATGGAGCCTTACTGCTGAAGACAGTCGTCCTACATCTTTCCACCTTGGAAACCACTCAGCTGAATAATCCTTCCTGTTGAAAATGTGGCATTGTACAGTTAATTGATAAAAACTCTAGTAGCATGTCCCCATTACAGGTAGGTAAGATGCCAAAGCCAAGAACAATAAACCACTAGTGATCAGCTCAGACATTCAACCAAGCCTTGAAATGGGAATTTGTTTACATTACCTTACTAAATCTCCCCTGGAGTAAGATTGGTATCATTCTCACTACATTCTAGTTTAAAAAAATTGAAGCACAGAACAGTTAATTGCTTGCCCTTGTCACATACTGGTAAACCTGAGATTCAAACCTAGTTTAGTCTGAGTGCAAAAGTCCATACTATTACTGGTATGTTATGCTGACTCCCTTGTATAAATACACACGGATTATGTACCATTTCAGAAATAGACAACCTTATACTTTTTATCATAAATATAAAGAATTGCTAACTATAAATATGAATATCACCTTAAGTTTCCTCCATAGGTTGCACTATAGTGAAAAATAAATTTCCTTTTAGGGGGCAACAGACTGTTCATCCATATTGGGCTAAATTAGTGTTTCCCATTTATAGTAATCACCTTCATGTCTGGCTTTCTCCAAGTGACACCTAAAAATGACTACCATTATTATCTGCTATAAATAAGAAGTATTCATAGAAATAAATACAAATTAACTATGACATTAGATCCTTGCTACTGTTCACTCTTTTTGTGACAATAGAGATTAGCATGCACTTGAGAAGTCATAAACAGATGACAGTATCAACCTGAAACTTTCTACTGAGTATAATATTTTACTGATATTTTATAGTAACAGAGAGGGAAAACCATTCAGGAGGCTATTAGATGCCTGTTATTTAATGCCCTCCCAGTACTAACTAAAGCCATTTCATATACCACCGAAGAGCGTGTCTTGTGATCCTGGTGGTAGTTCTACTGTTCTTTAGCAAATAATGGACCAGAAAATTTCCAAAGTCCCTTCTGGCCCTTCAATTTTATGGAAAAATTTCCTACTCATACCTTTGGCAATCCACTCATTTAGGCAGCATCCAACAATGTGTGGGTGTGTTACAAATATTGGTAATGGGTAAATAATATACACTCTACCTCCATTGGAAGGTGTGCTAATGAGCCTAATACAAGAAAGCAAATTGTCTAATTCATCTGTAACATTAACAGTTCCCTGAAGCT